GACCGAGTAGTGACAAGGGGCGCCTGTGCCTCACGATAGAGGTTGAAATGGAATAACGTCGCCTCCGGACAGTGACTAATGTAGCGACAGACCATTCGGACCTATGGTGAACTTGAATGTACGTGTGGTGTTGGTGTGTGTGTGTGTGTGTGTGGTGTGTGTGTGTGTGTGTGTTGTGTTGGGTGTGTGGGTTGTGTGTGTGTGTGTGGGTGTTGTGTGTGTTGTGTGTGTGTGTGTGTGTGTGTTGTGTGAGTGTAGTGTGAGTGTGAGTGTGAGTGTGAGTGTGAGTGTGAGTGTGAGTTTACGTTTTCGAAGGAAATAACAACGCGGAAATAGGAACCGGGCTTAAAGTAGTGACTGTCGATTCAGTAACTTAACTGACGTAGGACGGAGGAGAATGACTTTGTGGTTATTCTCAATATAGTTGAAAACTAAAGAACAAAAAAATAATAGTAAGACAGGGAGAGGAGTGTGTGTTCCCATGTTCCGTTCCGTTCAAATAAATAATATCGGGAAAGTTGTGTTCCTATTATTTTATTTGTAATTTTCTTTTTTATGTACCTATTTTCAAATGTCACGTCAAATTCTACAACTTATCAATTTAAATTTTCGTCGCTGTTTTTCTTTTTAGAAATCAGACTAAATTTTCGTTCAGTCTACAACGTCGCTGGACTGTCCATAGACCCTCCAACAAGGTTATAAAACCTTCGTTTATTGATTTGCCGACGAAGAGGCACAAAATCAAGACTGAGACCCCTGTCTTTCGACCTGGTCGAAGGGACTTAAAAAACAATACCAAGTATAAGGCAAACGGATTTGGTAAGTTTACAGAAATAACAACAGATCATATAAAATAAGAAACTGTGTGTCCTTCGTTCACATGTGTTGAGTCTTGTCCAAACAAAAGTGAAAGATATCACCTCCTGAGTCGTCGACGCAAAAAACTACAACACAAAAAAATCTAAAAAATCACTCTGGACGTTTCTGTGGTAAATGTCATCAGGTCAATACTTCTATTCGTACCTGTTCAAAAAGTTTTAGGTACGCACTGTGATCATGAAAATTTAGGATCTATATAAAGAAATCCACTATCATCCGACTAAATTCATTGACAAAAATTACACTGAACAACTTTTGAGTCCAGTCTCCAGGTACTGATGTGGTTTTCTAAAGAACCAAATAGACAACAAAACTTTTGTTACGTCCGAGCTTCGAGTCGCGAATGAAAATATACAAGACGGAACCGAGGTTTTCTGGTAATTGAGTCAAAATAGAAACGAATTAAACCTCTTTCAAGACTTGTAGGTCAGTAACTAAAAAGTTACGTGAAATGAGTCACAAACTTAACCTCGTAATCAGAGGACCACTTGAACTAATGTATTTACAACACAGTAGGCGTACGATACCATTTGAATAAATCAATCAAAAGTAATAGACTCGGTCACCATCGTACATCTACAATTTCTCTTCTCGCGGGGTTCTACCTCGGACTTCCTTGGGGTGTACAGTTTTAAACAGGTGAGTCTACACATAAATATTTATGTCTAGACTCACCTTGTTTATACTGTATGGATATCTTTGTTTCACAAAGACAGGAAATTTCATCCTAAGTTTGGTTAAATCTTGACAAAGGTTTTCAGGGTGGGGGTCAAAAGATCAGCAAGCTCTTATAAGCACCAGTTCACAGGTTTGCGGTCTGACTCTAGATTATTATGATTGTGACTTCAAAGACGGTGACAGACACAAATCACCTACAGTAACTTCGGAAATATTCTCGTCAGGAGTCACGACACCAAACCTGCTTCGGACACTGACCTTGTGTAAATAAAATTTACGTTCTTTAATGAGTTGACAACTTTTTGTGAAAAGTTACTAAGATGGATCTTTACCGTCCA